ATAAAGGTTTCGTCAACCGGAAAACGATAATTCTAGCTGTCGTTATCCGGGTAACGATTTCATCCTTTGCCTGGCGATTTGGGATTAGAGTAGATCCAAGGTATTTGAAGTCCAGGACTTCCTCAACCAGCAATGAATTGATAAAAATAGGTATTTTATCAGCATCTTATATATAAGACGAAAACTTTCGTTTTATTTACATTGATTTTGAGTCCAATTCTCGCTGCAATTGTTGATACATTGTTGTTTAACATTATTTGGATTTCCACATAACTGTCAGCAACAAGGACTACATCATCAGCTTATTCTAGGTCTTTAATGCTAGACTGGACACACCTCTTGAATGCCAAAGCGGTGTCCATTATCCAGTCTATCGCATTTATTTCGAAGGAGTCTGTCAATTCCCCATATATACGTACCTGTACCAGGGTATGCCTGATAAAATGCCTTTATGAGCCGATTGATCTTCTTTGAGACACCGTCACATTCACCACTTTCCAGAGCAATCCTGCCTAATCAATCGAATGCAGCTGCAAAATCGATAAAGCAAGTGACGGTGGGTTACTGGAATTTGAAGTGATGTTACAGCACCCTTCTTAGCGTAAATATCTGGTCAGCATAACCGCGTCTCCGTCTGAATCTAGCTTGGTTTGGACGCATTCTGCTATCTCGTGTTGTCATGAGTCTATTTAGCAGAAGAGAAGCGAAAATTTTATTATGTAAAATTTTATTTCTCCCACTTTATACAATATATGACTTTGCATTCAGTGAAACACAGCATGCCCTTCAGCACTTTTTTCTCATTACATCCAATAACGGGAAATATAATAGGAAGCTGGGAGCTATCATTTAACCATTTATTTTAGCATCATAGAGAGAAAATTTTGTTTTAAAATTTCAAACATTCGACATTTTCAAATTTTTACTAACCAAGTTTTTTCAAAAAGTGAATAATGTGATTTTACAAAAAATTTGTCATTTCCTATGATGCATTGAATTTTAAGAGTGTTGATCAGGATAGTCTAGTGGATATTGGCTCAGATTTTCGTATTGAGAGGTTCATATCACCAACAGGAATAAAAACACTTTTAGAAATAGATCCGGGAGATGCCGGCGATCCATTTTTCATCAAATAACTTTCTACGAAAAATTTTTAATAGCACTAACGCGCAGCCGAACAAGCAATAATCATTAAAAATTGATCTAAGCAATTTAAAGCAATGCATGACAATACGAAAATAAAATATAAAATGAAAAAAACTAGCAATAAATTGAACTACAAGAATTGCAAAAAAATGACAGATATTTTTATTTAGGGCGATTTTTGTTGAATAATTGCAATTACTCTCGCGTTTTCTCGCGCACCATCAATTTTTTTAATGATAATGGATAATAAGCTATAATACAGTCGTTTTTTTCCTTCCAAAGTATATATATTTTTATCTTAAAAGTCCTCACCATTACTGGTTGAACTCGCTCCACTGGCTTGTCGCATTGGGCAATGTGCCAGGGAGTGTTCAAAATATATTACCATCTGTTTAAATATTCCATTTGGTAACTTAACTAATATAAAAGATCTGATGGACCAAAGTTACCTCACTTAGAGATGTCATTATCCAGAACCATCCTGAATTTTCAGTGGTAGATTAAGTCTAATAGAGAAATGCGAAGCTAAGCCCTTATTCGTGCATCTTATCCTAAAGGAATCCAGAAAAACAAATGAATTTGAATTTTTATAAAGTCTGGGAAAAATGAAAGCAAATGGAAAAATTGCAATATTTATCGACTAACTCCGATTAAATTTGCAGCTTCTCTAAAAGACGTGAAAGAATCCAATGGATAATTCCATCATTTGCTTTGGATATATATATATATATATATATATATATAAAGCAATAAAAAGTTTATTCCTAAAAAATGGAAGCGTAGTAGACGAGTACTCGTTTCTTTGCCATTTATTTCGAGCATTTTGGCTGGAGCTGTTGTGGAGGACTGAAGCTGTTGGGAAGGGATTGGCGCGATTTTGTATATGAGGTTAGACTGGCGAAAACAAGTTTCAAACGGAAAGGCTGCGTTTCAAAATTATAATAAATAGGACTAATGGCTCGCCGTTCTGTGCCCAAGCAAGCTAAGAATTTCTTATCTTTATTATAATATAAAATTATAAACAATAATTTGCATATTTTTTTGTGTGTTCGATTTTTGCGACAGGAACTCCGTCGCCCACCATAGTAAATGTGTTTTTATTGAAAAATGCACGCAGCGCTAGAGATCAACCTGGTGCTCTTTCAAATTACGCCCTACCAAAATTTTCTCATTTCACTATGAGTCGGGCAGTGAGTGCGAGAAGAAATGGTGGACACCTATCTAAAAAACAAATAATGAGTTTTCATTCATTTTCTTCATTAAGTAAACAATAGTTTTTGATTTGTTTGGAATTCAGGAAAATTCACCATTCCTAAATAAAGAAAAGGTACTTGGAGTGTCAAATAATCCTATACATCAACCAAAGAGTTTCCGTGAAACAATTCAATCAATAGAAATTTTCTTGAAATCTGATCGATACGTATTTACGTATCGATCCGCAATCTGAATTTTTCTTTTCAGTTTTTGAGGTATTTAAAGTCATCTTTAATACTGCCACGAACAATTTGGCTCAGCCACTGGTCATTAAGGGCCAAATAGACAAATTTTGAAATTTGTTTATGGAACAAATCTGCATATTCTAATTATTTCCAAGTCGGTTTACTTCTTTGCTGAGCTGTCGACCTATATCTTCATAATAATTTGTCACATAACATATTTGTAGACCTATTTGTAGAATTTAGATAGATATTTGCTCGCCTACCCTTTCCTAATGTCTGCATAAAAGATTTTATAGGGGAACTCGTTTCCTTCCCGTTTCACTTCCAACTTAAATTGTTTTACATAAGTGGCCTATAATGATATAATTCGAAGGAAATAAGATCAACCATACTTGTCTCCGGAAGATTCTGACGACCCAACTGTATTTTTATCGGCCTCTCTGGCAAAAATTCCTAACCCTACTAGCAGGCAGCGGAGCTAGCCTAACCAGAAATGGTGAGTGCTAATCGCTTTCTTATTGGGCCATATTTTTAGCTTAGAATAAGCAAATATGAAAATCCAGAAATTTTGAAAAATTGAAAATATTTAAAAGACAATAAAAATTAGGGAATTGGGGAAATATCAGCTAATGAAAGAGGAACTAAATAAGTGAAAAGTGAAGGCCAAAGTAACTCCAATGATAAATGGAGCACTTGGAACAATGACCCCTCAATTAGAAAATTGGCTTCAGTGGATTCCAGGAACATCATCAAAAACCTCCGTCCAGAAGAGCTAGGGAAAGCAAAGACATTTCGCAGGATCCTCAGTCTCGTAGGCCTCTAATAGAGGAGTTGAAGGTGACCTTCACCATCCAGGGGGGGCGATATTTTTTCATAAAAAATACTGTCATACAAAATATGCATATATAAAATACTACCATAAAAAAAAGGAAATAGAAATTTTACCACCGAATTGTCGAAATAAATATTAAAGTTCACAAAATTGTTTGCTAGTCAAATCTTATCTAAAAATATACCTATAAATTTTCTGGTTCATCGTTTCTGATACTTTTAGCCATCAGATTTGCAGTTCAAAAAATTATTACCATTGCTAGCTACCAACTAATGCATTTATATAGAATTTCCAATTTCAATGTTTCTAACTTAAATTTCTTTTTGTACACAATTTATTATGGAGATAGGATAGCAGAACGATTACTAAGAAGGTCAGATTATTAAGAATCGGTATCCAACTTCTTCCGACAAGAGTAAATTTCCCATTTAAAAATAGAGTGGTACTGGTGATCCATTTGTGACCCTTTTCTTTCTAAGTGACCCTTTGGCAAAATTTCTCCTTGTATATTAATAGCCAGTGAAGCGAGCCTAGCCGAAAATGGTGAACGTTAAGCAATTATCCACCCTTATTCAGTTTAATACGATTAAAATATTGGAGAGAAATGAACTGAATTAAGCAATGATCGCTTGTACCACTTTCTAATTAATATTTCATTAAATATTTCACCATATTTTGCCAAAAAAAAATTAAATTATAGTTTATAAATGTTAATATAATAGTTAATAATAATATATAATAGTTAAAAATATAATAGAATAAAATAACCTTGACAGAAAAAGTGACTATTGCAGACAGAAATTGTGCTTGAAAAAATATTGCAATGAACAATGGGAGAAGGGAGGAGTGGGGTTAACAGTCAGTTGTAATTTGGTTGTAATCAGTCACATCTTTTAGCCATAACTGCCAATTTTGGTCTACTGAACCAAATGATTATATAAATTTTATCGATAGATAGATAAATTACATTATTAAGAATAAAAAATTTCCCGTACTCATCTGAAGGTTTCGAATTTTCTTTTCATCAGAGTTTTTATTTATTTGTTTAATTTCCTTCTGCCAAATTCTTTTCAAAAAAAAGAAATATTGAATAAATAGTACTTTTAAAAAAATAGTACGAATAATAATAAGTGATAATTTCATAAATAAATCTTCATAAAACACCTACATTGGAAATAAAATAAGAAAATAAAGTAAATGGCTGGGACTAACAGTTTGTGGTTGCGCTAGCTTTGCTGGCTGTAATATTGGTAGAAATTTTTATGATAAATTGCTTGACGATAGTAATACAAGTGGGTTGCTAGCTTCTCCCTATTGTATTTGGATTTTTGATTAATTTCAGTTAAATGTTGCCTATCTCTCTGATGCAAAGAAAAACAACTGTTATTGCAGATGAAATGCTGCTTTTATTTAATTAATATATATATAATATATTTATATAATTACCAGTTTTGCTCCCACGGTTTCTTACTGTCTTTATATAACAGAAATTTTTCTTCTTTCAAGGACAAATAAATAAAGAAATGATTTGTACCATCCCGTTTAGAAAAAGGGAAATTCCATAAATAGAATTGATCATTCATTTAGGGACATATTCTATCATAAATGATTGACGTATGCTTCGTTAATCGATGAGTAATTGTGCTCATCCACAATTGATTCTCTAGACGGTTTTCATCTAAAAGAGTCCAAATACGCACCATCTAAAAAGAAATAAAATTTTCTTGGATAATTTTAAAAACTGGCAAAAACTGGATAATGCCGATCTTCATAAATTCAAATTTAAGTAAAAATGAAAACTAAATAGTAGCGAGATTAAGCGAGAAAATTTTCATGATCTAGTCAGGAATCTTCGTTAGAAATTTAATTTACCGATGTCACCGGAAGATCATGACTGAAATTCAAGCGGCCTATGCGCTTCAGAGTAAATTCTATCGACTGTGAGTTTTCGATACCCTTCTCAATCGTTATGAATCCTGCAAAAATTTGAGATCATATAGCCAAACAAAAAATTACCTTCGTAGAAGAGCGGTTAGGCACTTTAATGATTTGGATCAAAGAAGATTGTTATTTAATATTATTATTATTAATTGTTAATGTTATCTTGACTTCAATAAACTTAAAGGATATAGTGATAAGGATTTGTAGACATAAATCTATTATTATTATTTAATATTCAACTTTTCACTTATTATTAACCATGTTACTATGCTATTATAAGATTAATTAAAAGTTCTACCATAAATTAAAAGAGTATCAAAGAATGCTTAATTATGTACCAATAATAGAATTATGTACCAATAAAAATCAGAGAAAAAAGCAAATGTATTGTTGCTTTAAATCTTCCAGTGTTTGGAATATGGTACTAATGAAAAATCTTTAAATCTTCGATGAAATAACAATAATTTTAAGGGATGAAAAAATTCTCTTATTGTAAAATTTATAATACTGACCGTTACTCATAACTGTATTCATTACTAGATTTCTTGTGCCATTTTCAACTGTAATAAAACCATATTCACTATGCATTTCACTGCCATCGCTATTTGACCATGCATATGAGCTAGAAAAACCTTAATGTTCATAATTTTTCTTATGCTCAAATCTAGTTCATAGTTTTTTAATAGTATTTGACCAAGGCACTAAATTCATCAAAAACACTCTTTGCGAACTTTTTCAGAGCCAAAATAAGACCTAAACTGAAAACGCTAAGCCATAAATATTTTTATTCACAAAATAACAGGTCTTAAACAATAAGGTAATCCTTATCTAAAGTGCCTTAGGCTCTAATATAATGAAAAATGTGAAAAGTAAAACAGCTTTCTTGGAAGAATATGGTACTGATGAAGCGAAAAGCGTTTCTACATATTTCAACGCAAAATCCTAAATTATTGCTTGAAATGAAAGAAAATTCCATTCTTATTAAAATGATTGTGCTGACCAGATATCCACGTTAAGAAGGGTGTGGGAACATCACTTCAGATATTTGCAACCCACTGTCACGTGTTTCATCGACTTTGCGGCTGCCTTTGATTCAATTGATAGAGCAGCGCTTTGGAGAATGATGGAACGTGACGGTGTTCCAGAGAAAATCATTAGACTCATAAAGGCATTTTATCATCGCAGGTCTGTGTATATGGGGAGCTGACAGATTCCTTCGAAATAAGAACAGGTCTCCGTCAGGGCTGCGTCCTTTCCTTCACAATATTCGACTATGCGATAGACTGGATAATGGACACTGCTTGTCGGCATTCAACAGGTGTCCGAATTAGTCCAGAGCATCGTATCACTTGAATACACTGATAATGTAGCCGTTTTTGATGATAGTTATGATGAAATGCAAATAATGCTAAATAATATTTCAGCAACTGCAGTGAGAATCGGACTCAGGGTCAGTGTAAATAAAATGAAAGCGTTTTCACTTTAAGTAAAGCAAGAAAGTAAAATAAAATGCCTCTTTTCATTGCCAGTTGAGGAAATGCCCGATTTTAAATACCTTGGGTCCAATCTATTACCGAGCCATGGCCATGCAAAAGGCGATATTATAACCCAGTTCACTGCAATTTTTTTTGAATGCCAGAAATGCTTTCTTCCAATTGACGAAACATTCATGACGTCGTCGTGAAATCACCATGAAAACAGAAGTCAGCATCTATATGTCCGTAATTCTTTCGATCTTGCTCTCTGAGATATGGCCAGTGAGAGTGGAGGATATTAAGAAGCTATCTGCCTTTGACCACTTTTGTCTAACATTATACATTATACAGATCCGTCGAGCGGATAAAACAAGAAAACTCTTATTAAAATAAATGGACGAAATAACCTTCAAAACTATTTTTCCTTTGCCAGATTCCTCGTACTATTTATTAAATTAGCATTTTAGCATTTTAACCAAATTTTCTAAAATTCATCCTACTTATTTATTTTGATTCAACTCATATTAATCATCAAATGAAATAAACTTTTTCCTGAATAAACTAACATGTATCGAAGAAATCCATTAGCTGAAAAATATCCATGCGCACTAAAATTTAATTCCTCTCCATAGGTAAACTTTGGAATGGTTGGAAAAAAAGCTTTTCCACTAAATTCAGATCGCCATCGTCCGATAAGAAATGCTATTGGCATTAAATTTTCTAGAACTTGATTCACATCATATTTTAACTTAGTTAGGAAATAGTTAAATGGAGTTGGATAAAAGATCAAAACAAATCTTTTAAAAACATTTAAAGCATGAATCTAAATGATTAGAGTTCACTCTTTCTGGCTCTGTCAATTGTTATTACGGAAACGACTCAGGTCGTCGCCACTTAGACTTCAAAATAGAACTGTTACCTCCCTCAACATACGATGATCTTAGCTAGTGTCCATTCGGCTACAAGAATCTAACTTAATCGCTTAATAAGAGAACGGTAGTTGTTATTCTTATTTCGGACCGATATTTGCGGTTTTACTGCCGGCAAAAATAAAGAGCTATTTTTCAAAACCGGTGATGCTAGCTGTACACCTAGATTTCTATCACCAAATAAGTGGCAAAATTTGCCTGGTCAGTGGAGAAAGTCCAGAAATGGTGAAAATTCTCAGAAAAAAGAAGATATAAGAGATATTTATTTGGATTATTGAAAATTGAAAATTAATAATAAAAACCATGATAACTTTCGGTGTTCAATTGACATTTTCGATGGTATTTTTTTGTAACAAAATTTGTTCCATTAAAACTATTCGTTTTTTCTGCAGTTATCGTTATATCTGAAAAATGCTACCATCAAATAGAAGTTGAATTCATTTTAAAATTTCTTTTCCTAAAAACAATTTGATGAAGAAGTGGTGATTTTATTGTTAGTAAGAAGCTAAAACGTAAGCCGAAATAGCAATAATAATTGATGCTTATCATTAAAAAAATAACTAATGGTTCCTTTTTCAATTCTATTAACTATATTAGCAATTTTTCAGAGGTTTTAGATAACAATTTTTAGTGAACGAAAGAATTAAAACATATATTTCCAGCTAGCACCATTAATGAGTTGGCACGCTCCATTGGTGGACTTCCAAGGCTCCCAATTAGATTCCAATCTTGAAAATAACTAAAAACACTTCTTTTTCCGCCTAAGCCCATAACTCCTAGGCATTCATGGCGTTTCACGCCCGTTAATACCAATTACAGAATTTCGGAGCCAGCGATAGTTACTGCGGTGAGCGACAAAGAGCATAGCCAAACCAGCGCAGAATACGCTTTGTGACGATATCTTAATGCAGATGGTACTGGAATAAAGAAAATAAAGAACGAGAATAAAGAACGCATGTGCAATCGTCCACTTGATTCTGCTAACTTGACGGGTACATAGGCAAGAATGGTCGGAGACAAATAAATAAATAACTTCCTGATATCGCCCATTCTCATTGGTCAAGTTTTGCAGTGTATTACCGTTGTGAAGCCAAATAAACTTGTCCTTTTATTTCGAGATTGGCGATTTGAGAGAAATTTCGCCAGATAAAAGAAAGACCTCTGATTGCATTCATTTTAGCTGGAAATTATCATCTGGCCATAGGTATAACAGTGGGCTGCCTGGAGAGTCTGAGTGTTGATAAATTAGATTTGTTAATAAAATAAGAATTCAAATCTTTTGTCGGCGATTTTATCAGCATCTGGTATAAAGATGGAAAGAGTTTTTTTTTCATACATTTCATACAATGATTCGAAGGCCAATTTTTTACTAGTGCTGCCGACATCGGGTCAAGCGTTTCTTGTAGTTCCTGGTAATAATGTAGTAATACTGCCAGCAAAAAGAAATATTAACATATTCAAAGTCTGAGGTACTATGGCCTGGATTGATTTGTATAACTCTTGAACACCGGCAAGAATATTGTTGTAATACTCCTCTCAGTATATTGCTTCAGTATCAGTTTCTGCGAGTCTACAGACGGCTGGTTTCACCTGAGGTCCAACCACATTTGCGTTCTTCCGATGCAGTCTATGGGTGATTTAGCTCCTGAAGGTAGGGCCCAAACTGGGACTAGTATTCCTTGGTTACAGAGATATTAAAGCCGTTCTCTATGTTTCATTACGTCAGCATCAGATGGATTGATTTTTCAACTTGACATAGTCGAAAAAATTTTGGGGAACGCTTTGTTTTCCGCATTGTCAATTTCATTCCAATCTTGGTTGCCAGTTTCGACACCTCAATATTTGCGCTTATCTAGTGCGAGACTTCTCCATCTGCATTTATACTTATTCCACATAACTAGATGTCTTCTACAATGATGAAAGCATATATGGCAAAAACACATACCCTATGCAAAGCGAAAGAGGTGCACTTCATTGGCGCGCCCTGTCCCAAAACCATATTTTCTGCTTACAGAATATAAAGAGACATTCTGGCAATTTATGAGCGTATTCCAGTTTCCCTCGATCACGATTAGGCTACTTTTTGAGATATTGTTAGCAAGTTAAGCTTGGTATGGAATTTTTGTTTTGTTTTGAATTTTAATTTTTGTTGGATTTTTGTTTTGAAGAATCTGAAGAATTTTCCATTATCGAGAATAAGTTAATCGATGATCAACAATAATATTCGAAGATGACAAGGGAATAAAAAGGATAACTGCGATGCAACTGCTTATCGCATTGATTATTTTCAATAATCCATTATGTATTTACTCCTTTTTTGCGAAGAGATTTAAATATATTTTAAAATTTCCATAGAAATTTCTTTATTTTATTTATTTTTGATAGCAAATTTTGAAAGATAAAGATAAGAAAGATAATTAAAATTCTTTCAATATTTATTCCTTTCACTTTTCCTATTACAGCGAATTTTTATTTGCATTTAAGCTATTCTATTTGTTTAAAAAGCTTACCTGTGAGAAAATTATATAACAAAACTACAACAAAAATAGCGAAAATAACGTCCATTGTCTCTGTAAAATCAATTCTTTCTTTGAACTACAAAAATTAATGAAAAAGAAATAAAAGACATTTTAGGATAAAACCTGCTAGAGACAATGAAAATTCGAGAGAAATTCATCAATCCTTATTGATTCACTGATTTCCGTTGACCAAATAAATTTTCCCAGTGCAGGTGCACTCCTATATTTTTCTATGTTACAAACAACGCATACATTTTTGTACTTTCGGCTATAAACAATATTATATTAATATTATATTAATTATTATATTATATTATATTATATTATTATAACATAATATATAATATAATATTTAATATAATATTTAAGTATATTTGAGTATATTTATTGATAACCAGCCAAGCAGGGCGACAACGCCATGTGCTTGTATTAATAATAACAGTTAAGATAACAGAAAAAGAAAACATAAAGAAAAAAAAAATAACATAAAAACAATATGACAAAAATTAACAATTTAAAGAGGAAATTACAGATCAATATAATATAGTGTATAGTATAATATATAGATCAATATAATGTACAATTCGAAGTAACATGTATAACCTGAAGATAAAATCGAGATTTCTCACTTCCCGCAGTTCTTGCCTGGTCTTCACTTCTTTTTTTTTAGATAATATCGTAAATGATATTATCTAGCCTTTTTTTAAAGACAGCTAAGGATGACGCACAAGCTACATCGTTCGGTAATTTGTTCCAGTAGTTAATAGTACGAATAAAGAAGTCATGAGTCCTTAGTTTAGTTTTCCATATAGGTTTTAGTAATTTTAAACCATTAGTTCTTGCTGGATTCAAATTTAGTTTAAAGTTATAATATTTCGAGCAATCTAGTTTAACATAACCATACAGAATCTTATATGTGTAAATTAAATCTTGTTTAATTCTACGAACTGAGAGAGAATCCATGTTATGTTGTAGAAGTGTTCTTTTATAATTAAAATTATAATTTTTATTAGGAGAAAGGCGCCGTATAAAATATTTTTGGAGTCCTTCAATTATTTTACCTGTTTTGCGATGTTTTGGAGAGTAACATGTAGTCAAGAAGCTGCCAAACTTGCTTTATATAATTTGATAAGAAAACTCATTTTGTTCTTAAACGAACGAAAAATAAAATTTAGTATCCTTAAGGGTTTCTTTACTATGGTTCTGCAGTGAAGATCGAAATCGAGATTTTCATCCATGATTATTCCAAGATCGGAGATGAGACTCTATTGATTAAATTACCATTTATAAAAAGGTTAGGAAGATCGAATCCTTTAGAGTTGATGTGAAGAACGCTACATTTTTGAAAGGAAAGGGTAATTTGCCTGTAATATAGCCAGTCAGCTACTGAGCTATTGAGCTGTTGAGGTCCTTCTGCAGTGGAGATAGGTATCCTCTCTACCATGAGAATAATAAATTTTACAATCATCAGCATAAAGATAAATAGTAGAATTTATTACCACTGTGGTGATATCATTTATATATAATAGAAATAGCAATGGCGCAATACAACTTGGGGTAGGCCTGATTTAACAGGTGTCATGTCAGAAAGAGTGTTGTTAACATAAACAGCCTGGTAACGGTCTTTTATGTAATCTGACACCGAGTTATAGAGGTCCCCTGTATGCCAACTATTAAGAGTGACCAATAATTTGCTATGGGAAACAGTATTAAAAGCCTTAGCCAAATTTAGGTACACAGCTGGTTGTTACTATTTTCCCATTATCAATTGATGCTGACCAATCAGAGAGATTTGCCAATATTTGTGAAGAAGTAAATTTTTTTGTACAAAAGCCATGCTGATAAGAAGATATGAAAATATTGGCATCAAGATAAGTGAGCAATTTGTTGCAAATCAACCTTTCAAGTACCTTGCTACCAACACATGTTAAGCTAGGTCTGTAATTAGAAGCATCATAGGTGCTTCCTTTTTTATGAATGGGAACTATATGGGACAATTTCTAAATTTTGGGATTAAGGCCAGACTTCATAATATCATTATAAATTAAAAATAGGGGAAGACTCAGAGAGACTGCGCTTTTTTAATAAATTATTTGTGGAATGTTATCGGGACCAGCTGAAATGGACGGCTTAAGTCTTTTTAAGGCATCATAAACATCCAGTAGTGTTATTTTAACCTCGCAGAGAAAAGCCTTGCAACAAATTTCAACCTTGCAACAAATTCGATTAACGTTAAAACAGGAAGTATGAGTATTATCCTCAAAAAACACACTGGAAAAATACTGATTAAATACATTTGCAATATCAATATCAGAGGTGATCACATCATTATCATTATGTTGCAGAATTAATTGTTTGTGTGGATTTGCAAATTTTCTTTTGATAAAGGTCCAGAAAGAATTTCTATCAATATTTAAAAGTTGTTCTTCTTTATTTGAAAAGTAATTTTGAATGGAAAACTTACGAAAATTTTTATATGCAGAGAGGTCATTTGGCAATTTGGTTAATTGATATTTATTATAAAGCTTATTGACACTTTTCTTAAGAGATTTTAGAAAAGTGGGAATCGACCTAATGTTCGTTTTTTTTAAAGGGATATATTTCTGCGAAGATAGGATAGAGTTAAAGATTTCATAATTAGGTAACTTCTAGAAAATCTCGAGGGAGGTGAATAACGGTATAATTTTAATGAAGCATGAATGATATTGTGATCACTATTATAAAAAGGTTCCAAGACTCTAATATTATCAACAAGAGAGGTAAGGGTAGCTAACACAACATCTAATATAGTATTGTACTTAGTGGCGACCTTAACATGTTGCTCGAGACCAACATAGGTACAAAAGTTTAGAAATAGAAAGTTTAGTAAAGTAAAGTTCAAAAAGTTTAGTCCTCTTCAAATTTATTGCTACTTTTTAAACAACTATTTTCCCAATCTATGTTTGGCATATTAAGATCACCAACAATTATATAATCGGTGCCAATTAATGTTGATTTGAGTAACAAGTTGTAAAGGTCCCTAGTGAATTTGCTTCCATAGCCCGGTGGGCGGTATAGATTTAAAAGGGAAATATTTCTGTTATATTTAAGATAAATTTTAATTATCAAAGATTCAAAAGGGGAACAAACATAATCATCGAAAGTTATAAATTTATAATAATCAGGAATAAGCATGATAAGCTCACCTCCACGAATATTTGAACTATTTATTGTTCTATCCTTGCGTGATACTATAAAGCCGTCAAAGTTTAGTTCGCGATTATCAATAGAGTCATTCAACCACGTTTCATTGATACAGGAAATATTGTTTGGGTTATCAGTTAGTATGAGTCTTAAGTCATAAAGTTTATATTTTAAACTTTTTGCGTTAAAAGTATATAAAGATAAATCACCTCTTATTTTATTAACCTTACTTTATAGCTTGTCCTAGGCTGCTGCAGACTGATGAGAATATGTTGGAATCAAAAAATTACTCGTCGGTGCTATCCATTGGCGAGACTGCCTAAATTCCACTATTTGAAGATTTTTGACGACATACTTTTTCAGATTGAAACTTTGATTTCGTGTATAACATTCTTTTCGCAGCTGTTTATCTAGCAATAATTCTCTTTTCGTCAGATCTTTTCGCAAAAAACTTCCAGGGGGAACGATGGAGCGCACATCCTTATTACGCAAAACAGACATGGCCATATGCTTATCGAGACGAATTTTAAGTACTCGAGGTCTGCCTGTCCCCTTCCTTCCATGACTATGAACCTCCTTAATGAATTCAGTCTTGAACCCAGCAACAACTACAATATTTTCTGCTAATAGCCTATCGGCAGTAGCAGATTCATCATCCGTAGATTTCTCTGGAATTTATATGCCAACTAGACATGGTTCTCTTTCCATCTTTTCAAAATATTCTTCGATGGTTTCCTTGTTCAGTTTCGATTTTTGAATGCTCGAAGTTGCCCAAAGACGAAGCTTTCAAATTATTAATATCATTCTTAAGTTCTTTGACCTTTGTAAATATTTCAACAGATCTAGTTAAATGCATAATTAGATCTTGTTTTTCATATTTCTCAATAATGGAAACTAGTTGTCAGATCCTCGATAGTTTTATTTAAACAGCTAACATCATTATTGGAAACGGCCCCATAAACTGCTACTTTTTTCGGTGCCATTTTCCTCTTATCTTACAAATGAACGGTATAAAACAATAAGATCAATATACTTTTGAAAATATCTTTCAGACGAATGTAATAAGATTAATGTATTCCTTCTATAGTTTAGCGAAGCACAATACAATAAAATAATGAAAAAAATCATCTTTATGCATCATCCTTAACTATTTTTAAAGAAGATTGAATAATACCATCCACAAGATTACTTAAAAGGTTCACATTACAAAGGTAGTTTGAAATCTTTTACTCGATCATTTTTCATCCGAATATTTTTCAGTATACATTCAGTTTGACGTGAATAATTCCCCTTTATTATTTCTCTTTACATAGTTTGCTTTTGCATCATTTATCGCTCACTAATTTCTTTTCATTTACCTTATTTTGTCGTCATAATACAAGCACATGGCGCTTGTCGTCCTATTTGGTTGTTTGGTTCAAATAAATCATCCAACAACCTTTTATAAAATTTTCTTTTATAAATTTAATATTAATATTTTCCATGAATATGAAATTTATATTTATTTACACTTAAAATAGGTGAAGGAAATTTGTGCTTTTCAACAGTGCTTTCGCCATCGATAAAAAATCCCATCAAAATTAGCATTGAAATATATTTTCATCGAAATATTATTTGTTATTTGACAGACCTACTTTTTGTAGGATAACCGAGTGAATAGCGATTTCGACTATCCTTTTGATAAATATTCGACCCGTGCGCTGATTAGGAGTAAACCTGTCATAAATTTGGAAGGCAAAAAATTCTTAATTGTAATAAAGCCAGCGGAAAAAGCGCAACTAGAAGTGATGCACTAACCACTTACTTCCTTCCTCTGTAAGTTTTCCTTTTTTTGCTTGATTTTAAGGATAAATTAACTGATCTCTTCTTCTTCTCCTTCTAATAGCTCTCATCATAACTGGTTAAGCTGGCTTCAACGGCTACGAGGGTAAGATGCTTCCAAGTGGCGCGGTCAAAACATAGACAAATTTATCGTTAAATCTTTCTTATGAGCAAAATTTATATATAAACGAAATTTTTCCCTTTCTTCCGATGGTAATAGAATGAATTAGAAGGCTTTAAATCTAAATAAATATTTTATGATATCGTCGATAGTAATGAAAGCCATTCCTTTTTCCATCGTCTAAGTCCATATATTGCTGGTCCACCTATACGTTCAAAATCTTTCCTTGACTGTATCAGTCCAGGTCTTGATTGGCCCACCTAGCTTTTGACGCCATCCATCACACGATTTAGCAAGTAACGAAATTGCGACAACTCTTGAGGTGGATGACGGAAAACGTTCCCTAACTACCGAAAAAGACGCTCTGTGATAACATTATTAATACAAGTGGTGTTTGCAAGAAGGTGGATGCGATCATGTGATATTTTATCCGCTACATGGATCCATAATATGTACCTTAGACAAGAGTGGTCAAAAGCAAATAACTTCTTAATATCATCCACTCCCATTGGCCATGTCTCAGAGCCATATAGGAAAATCGAACGAAT